AAAAAAAAAAAAAAAAAAAATTAAATGAATTATTTAAACCTATCTAGAATCCTAATATATGTAGGTTTCAAGTGTTTATTTTATTCGATATGGTTAATACAGAGGTAGGTTGTTTTCTGCCTGTGGAGCTTCAGCCTCTTTTAATTACCTTTGACACTAGGGGGCGGTGGCCGTTATCGTCAGATTGAGCCAAAATACACGTGGACATAGATAGAACAACACATAACACCGTTAATATGGATTTGTATTGGATTCTTCACGACCAGTTTTATGTAGTGGTTTCACGCGCTACGAAACTTAAGGGTTTAAAAATTCTAATTTGTGAGATGTACCAAAACACCAAACAAATAATAATATTGTGTACAAAGTTGTGTCTAATAATATATAACTTACATTTTTTATTCCAATACATGCAGTTTATGTTCATCTAATCATCAAAATAGAAATATTTACCTTAATAAAACTAGCATATGCATCACACGATACCGATCTAGTTCAATATAATAAGGAGGACAAAAACAATAATGTAACGGCCATTGAATGACAAACCTATTAGTGGCAAAAGGTAGCCACTGGGCGGGTGAGGAAGCACATGCTTGGGCGGCAATCCAGCTTCTCAGAAGCTGACTCACCTCTTACGTCACGTGCCCAGAGAAACGACGTCGTTTCTTGACCCTCACTCTCCACAAATCACTTGTATAAAAAACCCCTTCGCCGCCTCATTTCATTTTCATATTCACTAATCACTCAAAACATTACTTCCCTAAAAACAAAACAATATACTCTTTTGTTCCAGTTTTTCACCACATACAAAGAAAAAAATGGGCTGCTGTTTTTCATCGTCCGAGTACTCCGGCCGCCTGAAACCTACAGGCAATGTCGTGTCGCTCGCCGGCGAGCTCCGCCAGTACCCGCTCCCGGTGACGGCGTCTCAAGTGCTCGAATTCGAGGCTCTGTCTCCCGATTCTTTTTTTGTCTGCAGCTCGGACCGGCTCTTCTTCGACGACTACGTCCCCTGCCTGGATCCGGAGGACGAGCTCGAACCGGCCGAGATCTACTTCGTCCTGCCGCTTTCCAAGCTCCAGCACCGTCTCTCCGCCGCCGATGTGGCGGCGTTGGCCGTCAAGGCCAGCGCCGCGATCAACGCCGCCGATCCTCGCGGCCGGAGCAAGAAATCACGGATCTCGCCTGTTTTGGACTCGCCGTCGAGCAGCCGTCAGCAAAGCCCTAGCGGCGTCGAGAGTCCGGTCCGCGGTCACTGTGTGCCGAGAGGAAAATCTGGCAAGTCCTCGACTAGACCGGAGTTGGGGGTCTCGAGATCCGGTTCGGTGAGGAAGTTGCAGAGATACTCCTCCCGTCGAGCGAAGCTGGCGGTTCGGTCGTTCAGGATGAAGCTCACCACAATCAATGAAGGTTCGGTGTTGCTCAGTTGATTATTATCTCTTGATTATGGATTTTTTCTTTTCCCGCAAAACAATTGCAGAGATTACTCGTGAATGCCGAAAAAAGAGATCGAGTGGGGAACACGGGCATTTGTCTTGTTGATGAATGTTGGTGTTTCGTTTTGAGAAAATTAAATCTTGTATGTGAATATTGTTTTAATGTTCTTGTCCTGTGTAATTTGATGTATTCCCGTCTTGCATATGACAGTGAGAATGCAATTAATTTGGTTCTTACGTAATCTGTATCATTTTTGAATTTTGAAGTGAACATATATAAGCTGAACGTTAAAGAAAGCTTTGTGTGTGATCATCCAAAGGGTGGAATCTACCTGTTTCTGGTAGTACTCAATTTGATCACTCGTTGGCTATCAACTCTTTGAGAATAATGGGACAAACGATAATAATATGTGAGGATAATTCGATCTCAAAATCACAGTCCTAAGTGATTGAAGTAATAATTAGTAGAAGGCACAAAAACTAATGACATGTGATTGAAGTAATTAAAAGTGATTGGTTGGACAAAGATTTCTCATATTTTTTTTTTTTAACTCAAAATTTAATTCAAATTATGTCAATTCAAATTTTCTCAATATTATTAATATAATTACGTAATACTAATCAATCGTCATCAACGTTGGTTAACTGTTCATGCGTTTACATATTTCTAATTAGTCGTCATGTAGAATCACTTTTCTCCTACTTTTATTTCAAACTAATTTTAATTATTTAATTTTAAATATTATTTAAATACAACATAAAATCTACTCAAATTAACACAACTAACCTTTTTCAAAATTAAAGTTGAATAAAAAACAAAAATATCATTATTTTTAATATATGTCGTTTGGAGAAGTTACACATTAATTAAGAATAATTTTTTGTCAGTAATAACCTTATTTAGTAAAGATAGAGATGAGTGTTTTGAAAAAAAAGTGAAGAGTGAATACGAAAAGACGTGATGTATTTATTAGCTAAATGAGGGTAATAATAGAAAAATATGTACAAAAGATCTAAAACGACATTTATTTGGCAAATAGTTGATAAAGCTAGAATGACATTTAAAAAAAATAGGAGGGAGTAAAAAATTGGGTCAAAATCTTTTTCACCCCATTATAAATCCATTCTTTCTTTTACACACCGTCCCATCAAATAACTTCTTTTACACCCCAAAACTCACGAAATGCTATGCGATATTACACTCGCATGTCCAAATGAACCAGCGCATATCCAATCGACCGCATAATTTATGACAATGCGTAAATATTTCGCATTTTTTAATCGCATATCCACATCAAACGCATAATTTAGAAATGTGCGAACATCTTTCGCATTTTTAATTATCGCATATACAAATCGATTGCAGCATAATTTACGATGATTATGCGCCTTCTTATCGCAGGGCTATATCAACCTTGAAAATTTATGACTGAGAAAATATTTCGCATCTAATTCGCATAGTTTGTTGAATACGCATTTTCTGGTAATTGCATATTCAAGTCAATCGCATAATTTACTAATATGCGAAACAATTTCGCATATATCCTCTGGATAATTGACAATTATGTGACCTTTTTTCGCTCGCATATTTAAGAATCGCATAACCA